GCGTAATATAGTAGTATAACGGTCATTTATCGCAGTGATTGCTACGGAGAGAAGATTGATAATGAGACGATGTGTACCCAATGTTGAGTTATTGATCAGGCGGGTCTCATTTGATTAGCGCATGTAATAGGATTCGAGAGATTAATCTCCCTATAAGAGCGCTATATTGAGTGAGGCTATAGGATCAGCTGCGAGCAGTATCAGTCTGTTAAAATAATGCATAGAATGATAATGCCTCCTGACGAATCGTCTCCATATAGTGATAATGAATGTGCTAATATCGAGAGATAGTAATGTCCCTAGCTACGAAGCTCCTGGTCAGCTAGCGCCGAGAGCTTGGAGCATCTTCGTTATATCATCTTTGCCTCTATAGTGCCAGGATAGTAAGCGTAAACTGACAAGATCTTTTCTCGTTGCGCGCACGCTCTTCGATATAAATTTGTGTGTTATTGTTTTCTTCGCCGCAGACGATCGACGTGAGACGTGGTTGTATAATTACACGCGTCTCGCGGTGTGCCCGTCACGATGCGGCTCGTAACAGGTGTTCTACTGTCTCCACTCACTATCCTGGATTAGCTCACAGGAAATATCACTGACTTTAACATAGTAACGTATTACCTGATCTAACACTGGTTAACGTATACTTGAGCTTAACATAGGTAATGTATAACACTGATAGAAATCGATAGTTGTAAACAGTATTTACGCCGACACTGGGTATGCATACATAGGCACTGATCAGAACCGTGTAAAGACATGGTTCCCTAAAAACTTATTTGAAGGCCAAAAAGATGATATGATATAGTATATTATTATGCTACTATGATATATATTTTAGAATATGTATATATATTATATATATAATATATAGCTTGAAGTTTCCTTAAGCCCGCCGCACAGCGCTGTGTTTGTGCTGCGTCACAGCGCACTGATGGCGTGCAGCAGCAAACACAGCGTGGTGCCAGGCGGGCTTTAGTCTCGGCTATACCATAATATATTTATTATATATAGATATATATATATAATATATAATATATATATATATGTTATGAG